GCTGCACGCCGACATTGTCTGTGCTTGTATATATGAATACGTTTCATTGAGTAGAGCCACTGAAGCTGAGCCATGGAAAAGTAGAACATTACAATGTCTCTCCCCTCATTCTGCAGCAGGCAACCCAGCAACACTGCGACAACAGATCCTTCGCTCTCACACACACACACACAAAGTAAAGGATGAAGCTGTTCTTGCTCTCAGACGGGCTGATTACGGTGCTGACACACTCTGCCTTTTAATCACTTAGACCTGACCTCATCATTAAATGGCACTCCAGCAGCAGTCTCTCACAGTGGGAGAGAGTGAGTGGGTTAATGTTTTCAGAGGTTTGAGAAAAAGGGAGAAATGGAGAGTGTGCTGCAAGTCAATGATTAAGTGCAAGTTTACATGCTAGTATCCCCACAGTATTGAAAGAGAAGTTTTGATCAGATTTCTTCAGTGCAAAGAGTTGTCATCTTGTATTTCTCTATGGTCAGTCTGAGTCTCTTTGTGGTTATTTTTGCATCCTTTGCAGGAGCGGTTTGTATTTTGATACCTTTTTTAGTCAATTTATGTCTCTTTGTAGTCAGTTTGTGCCAGTTATCCTTGTTTCCAGCTTCACTGCTTTTCCTAACAAAAGAAAATCTGCTCATTTGATAATAAATTTAGCTTATTTTATCCTTCATAACATTGTTATCAGCTTTTGGTTTAGTTTTATTTGTCACATAATGTTGTATTGTCCTGTTTTATGCTGCTTTCCTGACCAGGTTTCCAGCCTCAGCAGGAGTTAAATCAAGGTAGAAACCACCGCAGCAAGTTCTTTATAATGTGAGCAATGATTTTGTTGGATACCAGCCTGTCTCCGTTCAAGTCACCCCTCCTCTCTGTTCCCTCCTTTTTCTCCTCTCTGTCCTTTGAACAGTGAAATGAACAGAGGCAGCATGTCCCAGGAGAACACAGTGGTATCCATCTTCGACAGATCTCACCTCCTGTTATGCTAAAGCCCAGAGAGAGAGGTAGAGACAGAGAAAGCTGGAGACTTGAGACAACTAAAAATCAATATTGGGAAAAGAAAAACATTTTAATGAAAGCCAGTAAGACACGGGAAGAGGAAAACACACTACTGCAATAAAAACTAATGTTGATTTTCTATTTGTAAATGTCTTGTTTCTTTCAAGGTCAAAGAAACAGTTCAGCATGTTGGGAAACACACTTACAGTATGTGCTTTCCTGCAGAGAGTTAAATGAGAACATTGATATTATTTTCTGTAAGGCCAGGGTAATGGGTCCCAAAATGTAGAGGTTTGTCAAATATTCTCACTTTCCTGATGTAAGGAAATCAGTTTTCATATCATTTAGTCTTTCTTAAACCCATTTCCTGTATTATGTGCAAAATCCTTTAAATGTGAAACCTTCACTTGAGACATGTTTCTATCCACAAGAAAAAAAGAAATCACAGAAATTCTCATGTACCTGCTAAAGAGAACACAATCCAGTTGTTAATACTCTCCTCACTCTGCTGTTTTCAGCATCAATATATCACTACCCATGCAAACATACTCTGATATTCCCTGCTATCAGGTTTTCCGATGAAACTGATACAGAAACTGACCTTCAGCAGTCTCTTTTTCTTTCAGTCACAGATATACACATCTCTCATGTCTATCATAGGTCTGAGCATGGACATGTTAACAGACATGAAGGGCACTTCCTGTTTACAGCCAAAGCAGTAAAGTCCACCTGCTCAAACACAGCCATTATCCATCTAATCACAGATGAATAGACAGATGCACAGATGAAGAAAAAGCATTAACAATGGGCTTAAATGACAATCTGTCAAAATAATGATGTACTGCTTTCATCACCTGCTCTTCTCTGAAATCCTGCCAGACAGCAATCAACACTGGGCTTATTCCAGTATAGCAACAACTCCAGAGAGCCAAAGGGTGATCATGTGATACTACCCCATTTGCTGTGTGAAAGACATAACACGAGGTGTCTGCTGGGAATATCTGCAATGAAATCTGAACTGCTGAGACAACATCATAAAGTGAAGTCACGACAAATGGACGTCTGCAGACAGGAGAGCGAAGTCTTTTCTAACAGGAATGCATCATTAGTGAAAAAAAAGACTGTTGACTGCTCATGCCCATCCAGAAATCACCACAGGGAATGTATCTTGGATTGCTGAAGGGTGTCCTTGACTATTCATCTATGAATCTATTAGAATTAACAAATCACAGGCCAAAATAAAAAAAACCCCACATGAAAACATGACCAAGCTGTGACTTTTTGAAATCAATGCTGGATCAGTCGATCCGTGTGGGAGATGCATACGCCTGCTGATGACATACAGCCAAGAGATCAACTTTGAAATGTTAACCAGTCCACTCTGAGACAGGTTATACAGCATTTTGCAGCTTGGATGAGAACGCTGCAAGAAATGAACATCTTAAGCCCTTGTCTCGTGTTAAAATTAGAGTCTATTTGTCCCTTAAAAGAAGCCTGTTTGAGGAGAAAGGAATGAAAAGGCTGCTGGTTTCCAGCACTGTGTTTCATAAAGGACTTTCAAGTAATATCACAAAACAGAAACGGATCATTTCACTATTGCTAAAATGGCAGAACATTTCTGCAAGGATTTTAAACACCTCAAATAACCCTCAAAGATGCCATTAACTGATTCTAAATGTTTTAAAATAATGATGTATGGTGGCCATTTTTGCAGTGTGTTAACCAGCACAGCAGGAAGTTTGTGAACTACACAAAAGCCATAGGTTAAATAAATAGCTGACAAGTGCACAAAGTTTAACTTAAATGGTTTGGAGCTAGAGGAGATCACCATGGCTTGGTTTGAAAAGTCTTTGCCTTCAGTATCAGGAATAAAACTGCATTAATGCTCTGTCAGCAGAAAGACAAACAATAATTCTTAACATTCAAGTGCCCTGCAGGTTTGTGCAAGTGTTTTCCTTCAGCACATGTGCAGTCAGTCCTTTTAATCATCGGAAATGCAGCATGCTGCATAAATAATTAACCACATGCAATGTGAAGGCTCACACACACACACACACATGCACTGTTCACATGCATCTCATTCGTCATAGTGTAGCCTGACAGATTCATGTTTGTACACACATTTTGGATGCACACCCACACTGTCTGTGTCATTTCCACCTGGCTGGGTCTGAGGTGACAGACCTACTGTATGCCTGTAGTGTGCATTTGTGTGTGCGTGTGTGTGTTTGTACAGACCTACTCCTATAAAGAAAGCGGGTGAGATCCAGAGGAGATGACTTGATCACAGCATCAGCACACCCTTAACCCACTGCCCTTCTTTACTCCTCTCCAGTCGGTCTACCTACCCCACACTTGGCTCTGGCAGCACAATGTGATTGGCAGGCGGCACACACACACATGCACTCCCACAGCACATTAGAATTACTGTCTTTCTAGACTCCTGTCTTTCACTCTCTCTCCTTTTCTCCCATAGCACGAACACAGACAAGCTCCCCCCTTATGAGATGCAGAAAGTACAGGGACTAAAATGGTAGCCAGTGGAAAATGCATTTCTTAGTGTAAACAAATTAAATGGAATCAGGAAATGCACAGGTTTTCAGTAAAATACTGGGGTGACCGGTGCGTAAAAGGCGCAGCCGTGCGGTTTCTCTCGCTCTCCACTTAGTTAATCTAGCCATCCCTTTCTCCCTCTTTACGACAGAGAGGATGAGAGAAGAGCCAATACACCGTCCAGCAAGGGGCCACAATGTTAAACCAGACAGCTTTTGTGTCGCTTAGACTCCCCCCCGCTATTCTCACCTCAATCATGAGCAGCAAGTAGGCTGTCAGTGTTGCAGAGGACAAAGGGACACCAGTGGCAGCGAATCCAAAGGCACAGGCTGTTTAGGATGATGACAAGGCTCACTGTAAATATGAATGCATTCCTTGGAGAAAACCCGAAGCATCTAAAATCCCTGCTGATTGACGATATAATGCAGTAGCTGATACAGATAGTGCAACTAAGGCACACAGCAAGTGTACATTTGATCAGAGGAGTGAAGTGAGTGCAAATTTCCTAGAATGCTATTTGAGTCATAATCCCACAGAACCGACGAAGCAGGTATTCAGGGACGACGTTTCCCCTAAGATGTGTCTCGTCGGTCACCTGTCTCCATATGGTTTGGAAGGCTTGGTGACAAGTGTGCGCATTAAGCGTGTGTGATTTACAATTTCTGCTCCACTCACCTCACAGTCATACAAGTCGCTGAGCTGCTCAATGATCCACTCCTCCAGGACGAGTCTTTTCCGCAGCTCTTTCCTGTCGTACTTGACCGTGACTTTGCCCTGTTTCTTCTGAACCGGATCCTCTCCCGTGATGGGCCCGGACCCCACGCAGCCCACCCCGGTCGCAGCTTGGAAGAAGACGCGACTGCCGGCGGTGGGCAGCGGGGCACTAGTCTCAGTGCTGGCGGCCGACATTTCGCGATGTGGGGGCTTATTACTGAACAGCTGTGTGAATGAGTGGGGTTGCGCTGCTGACTGGGGCTGTGTGCTGCACGACAGACAGGAGAATGGTGAGGAGCTTTTTAACAGCTGCTATTTAAAGCGCAGCGCCGGAGACAGCCGAGAAGGCGGAGCGAACACTGCAAGAAATGGACATCTGAAGCCATTGTCTCGTGTTAAAACTGAGGTTTATGTGCCCCTTAAAATAAAACCGTTTGAGGAGAGTGGAATGAAAAGGCTGCTGGCTTCCAACACCGCGTTTCATATAGGACTTTCAAGTAATACCACAAAACAGAAAACGGTCATTTTACTATTGCTAAAAGGGCAGAACAATGAGCAAGGATTTTAAATGAAAACTCATCAAATAATTCTCAAAGATGCCATTAACAGATTCTAAATGTTTTAAAAGAATGATGTGTGATTAAATTATTTAGTAAGATTGCCATTTTTTGCAGTGTGTTAACCAGATTCCCTCAGTGGTGCTTGTCTGCGCACCGACGCGTGCTGGAGAGCAGGCAGATACTGCTGTGCTTCAGCAGGGAGGCCTTCCTAATTCTAGCCATATTCTTCTTCTCTGGTGTTAGAAGATAAGAAACGGCTATTGGTGTGTTCTACATATCTGTGGTGCACAGATTTACACATCTGTGTAAAACCGGGGTATTCCAACTGGATCTTCAACATGTAGGCCTATTTATATGCTGAGTATATCTGAACCCTTTGCAAAAAGAGTCTGTTGCGCCACATGTTGGCCATATGGAGAAATGCTTTTAACAATAACCTAATTTATACACTCTGGACACAGTACTCAGCACAGGAAGGAGTTTTAACTAAAGGAATGTGAGGTACTGGCTTAAACTTTCTGATGACTTGGTGATCTATGACATGTTGTGCTAATCAGTCACGCAATTTACCACCAGCATCAGAGCTGCTGTGTGGATCTAAAACAACAACAACGCACTTATATCATGTTCCAATAAAGAGCAGCAACAAGTCACTGTGGATACATGTTTTATCCCCTTTTTATAGGAGAGCTGCGAGCTGATGGGGCATTTCTCACAAAGCGTGACTCAGCGTGGTCAGACCCATTAAGACAACAGTAACATCAGCTGACGCACACAAAAGATCAAGTGCCCGTGTCCGCTTCTCTGCACACCGTCAGTCATGGCTCTTCTCTCCGTCCTTACGCCTGTTCTCGCGGTGGTCCTGTGCTTGCTGATAGGCTTCATGCTGGTAAAATCACGGGAACCGGGTACCACCACCTCGCCCTCGGTGGGCGAAACTAAAGCGGGGTCAAAAGCGGAATTTAGACCGTGGGTGGACCAGGATTTACAGGACAATACCGAAATCACAGCGAATGAAAAAGGTAAGAGCAGAACAGCCACCCCCCAACTACTTATCGGCTAAACCTGGTTTCTGAACATGGTTTTCGCCTAGATCAAAAAGTTTACTTTAACTACGTGTCCGAGGATCTGGTGATTGTTCTCCAAAGCCAAAGACAGGTACACGCGCCCTGCGAGAGCACACACAGCAACAACGAGAGAGATTTGTATGAAGGGCCTTGGACTTCATCATTCACAGGTTAATCATTAATGATAAATGATCTGTAGCCTAGAGAGAAGGACACTAGTCTATTTTGAAATTTTAGCAGACCGCACACAAATGGAATGAAAGGTTTACATTGTTATAGCCTAAATGTAATGTAATTTTATACAAATGGTGACATAAAAGTTAAAAAAGTTGACTTTTTTTATATATAACACAGCATTTCTACATCATGAGATACAGGCTAATTACATTTTTGCCTTTATAGGACTCCATGAAAGAAAGCCATTACCTGCTAGGGAAATGGGCAACATGTCCAGGGGACCAAGGCCTTAGGGGTCCCATTATTGTAGAAGGGCCTTCTTGCAAAATCTTTTAATATAGTAACAACATCACAATGCACATTTTCATAGGGTTTAATTGCACTGCTCAAGAGACAGAAACCTGTTTAAAAGCCTGGTGCATAATAATTTTGCTGTCAAGTCAAATAAAAGAAGACTTTATGTACAGTATGTTTGCAGGAGTCCGGTCTTTCACCTTGTGGTACAAATGTCTTCTAGTTCATCAGTGTGTTTAGAATCATTACATTATAATAAAGCACTGTATTATTAATCCCTGACAGTTTGGAAACTGCTCACTGCTCCTGCTTTCTGTGTGTCATCCTTCTAAGAGAATAGAGACTGGGTGGAGAGCAATGATGAGGACCTTCCACATGTGCCCTACTCACCACTGCGTTACCCTGTGGAGACGGTGCTGAAGAGATCCCAGGACTTTTACACTCTGATGAACCAGCGGAGGTCTGTCCGGTTCATCAGCCCAGAACCAGTTCCACAAGAAGTCATTGATAACATCATCCATACTGCAGGCATGTGCAAATGGACCACTGTTAGTCTCAACCAAATTAAAGATGTTTGGTTCACAGTTATGTAGCTAAGTCATTTTTTGGTTTTTCTAACTGCACTTACCCTTCCGTCGTTCCTCTGTGCAGGTACAGCCCCTAGTGGAGCACACACAGAGCCCTGGACGTTTGTCGTGGTGTCAGACCCAGAGATGAAGCACAGGATCAGACTGATAGTGGAGGAAGAGGAGAAGGTGAACTACCATCAGAGGATGGGAGAGAAGTGGGTCCATGATTTGGCTAAATTAAGGTGAACACCCATACTTAATCCAGAAATTTGTATCAATATACTGATGCTTTAACAAAAAAACCCGCTATTGACAGCATTCAATCCTGTATCCAAAATTCTAGCCATGCATACGCAGTGGTTATTAATAATTATGGATCAATATAAAGTTTAACTAGATCAAAATTTTCTGGCCTGTACTCTTGATCACAACTACCTTTCTCTTGCAGGACAAACTGGATCAAGGAATACTTGGATGTTGCTCCATACCTGGTCCTCATCTTTAAACAGACCTACGGGATTCTACCAAATGGCAAGAAAAAGACACACTACTACAATGAAATCAGCGTCTCCATATCCTGTGGAATCCTGCTGGCTGCATTACAGGTAAAAAAAAAAAATAATAATAACACCACCCTTTTAAATATAGACCAAATCAATCACTGCTTTCTTGATCATAAATGGCATTTAACAAGAGCATTTAAGAGAGCTTTAAGATGATTTTTGTGGTTGTCTTGTGACAAGACAGGGACATGTCTGGTAAAGCATCTTAATGTCTCTTGTTTGTTCCCATTTTTTAAAAAATCAGAATGCAGGTCTTGTCACTGTCACGACGACACCCCTCAACTGCGGCCCTCAGCTCAGGCTGCTCCTCAAACGGCCAGCCAATGAGAAGCTGCTGATGCTGCTACCTGTAGGTTACCCTGCTTCTGATGCTATTGTGCCTGACTTGAAACGCAAGGCTCTGGGTGATATTATGGTGCACATATGACAGAATCTCAAATGGATTTTCTAAAAATATGATATTATATATAGCCTCTCTCTGAACATTTCACTTACTTAGCTAGGGTGGTTTAAAATTTTAACACATGGAAAAAAAAAACTAATCTTCATATACTTGCATATGTTATACAGCAATGACCTTGGTGTCTGACAGAGCCCACATTTAAATTGTGATTCCCACATTCATCCAGCAGATGGCACACTCACTCAAAGCAAAATCTGTTTAGTCTGAAGCTGTTAAGTTTTTTTTACTATTAAAATTCAACTGGAATCCAGTTAAGTTCAGGGTCACACCCACCTGTAATGATGACAAGCTCAAGAATCTTATGGGAATATCAGTACATGGGTGTGTAAGGTGAATGCCTTACACTTGTCATCCATTCATGGTCCAAGTGGAAATGCAGGTGGCACAACTTCTGAGCAACTGAACTACAGTACCACGCCTGGGAGTTCTCAACATTTCATTTGATTTGATTAGATTAAAAATATTTCATGCACTGTGACAAGAGCCCAAAAAAGTGAGAACAGGCAGGGTACACCCTGAAACCTTAAGGTGGAATACTGACTTTCCAAATGAACAGTAAGAGAAACATGAAAAACACCTTCATTTATTTGACCAGCTATGAAACAGAAAGTGAGACATGGTGGAAAGAAAACCCATTAAACATTAGTGTCTCTAAGTAGAAAAGAAGCTGCGGTGTGTACACAATGTGACAGGTCTTGGTAAACACTGAAGGCAGTCTTGGTAAATACACTGTGCAGGTAGTGCAGGATGTAAACTGGTCATCTTGAAGTTCCCCCCTTTTTTACAGTATCAGACTGTAGCATATCCAGGATCCAACAGCTTTACCAATAAGATCAGCATCCACCCAAGACAGAAAGCCTCACATCTGGCGAGTAAAGCATAACACAACAATAAGACACTCTTCACAATGGACATGATGGCACTATGACTTAGTTAAGTTATATGCGGATTTACTGACCAGTGTGTTAGTTTTATCCCAATCATTTTAATGAGATTTGTTAGTCAGAGGCCTAAATTACAGTAATTTCGCCATGTAGCCTACGCTACATAGACAAATGTCACGTTACCATTCACGACGAATCCAGCTTCTTCTGTGTTTCTGACAGTTTATCTTGCAGACGTTTTTTCTTCCAGTCCAGATACTTTCTTCTCATTCTGTTGGCCTGCCACCCTGCCAGAAAGCCGACAGAGAAAGAAACCACAACAGCGACTTGTAGCGTCCTTTCCGAGATATCTCCCATGTTCACCTTTGCCTGAGTGACACACAAGTTTGTGAAAATCTTCCGTCCCCTCCTGCAGGAAGTGCAACTGTTTTACTCACGCGATAGTACAGCAACGTTAATCTCGCGATTTTCAAAATAAAGGCCCAGAAACCATGGAAAGTCTTTATATTGTAGCCTGTTTTCAGGTTTTACTACTACTACTACCACCACCACCACTACTACCGCTAATAATAAAATAATAATGTTTAATTTTCATCCTTTTGCATTACTTTACATTGACAAAAGATACAACATGTAACTTAGTTATAGCTCGTTTAAAAACAATTTATTTTGTCCAAAAAACTGATTTATAAAAAAGCATTAAAGTAAAAATTAGTGAAGGCCAATAGGGAGTCAAAACTGAGTTAATATTGGTGACAGAAGTGATACAATTGTGGAAAACATCTGGAAACCTCTAGTTTGGGGACACAACTCCTTTCGCATGTGTGTTCATATCCCCAAAATCACTGAAATGAAGTTATCACAAAAGTTATCAAAGCATAAATTGGAAAATAAAATGGAAATGTACAATACAAACCATAACGCACTAGAGCTGAAGACACTGGTCATCAAATACAGAAAGGATTCATACATAGACATACATGCTGTACTTCACATATGTTTTGATTGTGGCACACAGACACAAACTATTAGAGTATCAGGTAATATACAGTAAGTTCCAAAAAACATTCTGTTTAACTTGTACAAATTCTATACTGTATGAGACTGACAATTAATATGTTTATAAGTTGTTGTTTGTGCAATTTTATATGACAAAACTGTATTTGTTGGCTGTGAAAATCATTATTATTAATGCTTTTAAACATTTATGTAAAAGTTTGTTAGCCTACTTTTTACAGTTTGGAGATGATATACTGCTTTATTATTAGGAAGAACAAAATATTGGGAATTTATATTCAAAAAAGCTCAAGAGGTAATGCATGAGAAGAATGTAAACTGTAGTCCTAATAATGACATGTAAATGAAGTGATTAAACCGACAAGTGTTGTGGCTGTAGTGGCAGTAACTGTTTCAGTGAGCACTAAATTGTATGAGTTTGCTACAAGTTGCTTTTGCTCACACCATTTTGCACCCTTCTACACCACTTTACTAGGAAGGTTGCATTTGGTCTGCAGCTCCATATTGTCATTTTAAAACCAGCAACTGTAACACAATATACAATTCATGTGAACATGGCGCTATCACCTGAAGTTTCTTTCTGTGTCGCCTTTCCTTCCTGTCATGTTAGTAACTGGCACATGATCTCATGCACCACTGCTCAGTGAAACACCTTGCCACTTCACTCAGCACTGAGCTGTAGTTTGTGGCAGAGATGTTCACGGTTACTCTTTTCTTGAGGATGAGCTACATCACTTATTTCTAATGCAGTTTTACATTTTCAAAATAATGCCATTCGTTTGACATTGTATTGATTTGCTCAGTTAAGAACAGATCTATGGATCCTTGTTTCATCAACTGACATCTTTTAGGATCACAGATACTTGACAGCTGTGTCCCAAAATGGCACAGTAATAGTGCAGTTTCTTAGACCACTGTCATCAGTCAGGAAGAAAACCCACAATCTTAAAAGAAAGCAGTAGTGAGACTTCAAGTTTAAATATAAAGCACCATGTAAGCATGTATAAATCCCTGTCTTTGTAGTTTTTCAGAGGTGTTGATTATTAATATCTGCACAATGTCATACTGTTGAGAGTCAAATGAATTTCCGTTATTAGAAGTCACATTTCAAAATACAGTAGCTGCCATCTGGGTGGAGTCAAACTATTTACAATCTAAAGCAGGTATAGAGTAAACAAAAACAAAAATGAAATATCAGCTTCAGCTACAGTCTTGATATGTGCAGTCAATATGTCCTATCTGTCAACAAAATGCGATGCAGATGCTGTAAAAGCCATTGAGTACGCAATCCAAAAGCAGTCATGCTCTACTGCTCATGGTAGAGAAAATTCAAGAGAGCCAGCAATGGTTTTTACTTAAAGGTGATCAAGGTTTTGGCTTCTCTGCAGCAAATCACAACCGGTTCTGTCTGAGCCTGTCGATGTGGTAACAGAGTTTGAGTGCAGGTCCCAGCTTCAATCCCAAATACTTCATCATCATCTCACTTTTCAGCAGGAAAAAAGTCTCTTTCCTGAAACAAATCACAGAGTTGTATAACTAACAGAATATAAAATATAACTATTTATGCATGTGTAACTTCCAGTAAACATATATACTGACAATTGAATGCTATTCATGAAGGTGATAATGCTTTTTGTTGAACTTTTTGTTTTGCTGATTCAGTGGCCTGAAGATCAGAGGTAGGTCAGTAACTTATGAGAATTTAAATGGCTTTTCTACAGCTCACTATGTTTTAAAGATCTTATAATGATACCCATCTAGTTTCTGCTGATTTTTAAGCCCATAGGAATCTGGGGATAAACAGAGCTGCAGTTGTCTGATAACAATTTTTAAGTGTACTTCACCTCCTGCAGGGCCTAACACAAAATGCATGCTTGGGTGCATTTTCCAATAAATTATAATATTTCAGTAAGAGTCAACTGCCTTGACCTACAATACCAACTAGCCTGGACTCACGTGCTTCCTGAAGGTATCAGCATGAGGTCCCAGGGCTTGGGGGTCAGCATCTTTGATGAACCACACCACCTCCTCCACACCCCAGCTGGATGGGTCCTTACCAGCCAGGCGCTTGGATGCTCCCGAGTCTGGTATTGAACTATAACCTATGTGGCACAGGCAGGGTGAAGATCTTTTATACACATATGGTTAACATAATGGGCATCCAGTTTTATAATGTCATGTAACAAGACAATAGTTCATCAGTAGGAATTCTGAACTTAAATAAATAGTGGGGCATTTGGTTTCTTGCCAAACATTAGGTAAGAAAATCGGTACCACTCTCATGTCTGTCCATTACACATGAAGCTACAGCCAGGAGATAGATACAGCTACTCATGCAAAGAAAGTTAGTAAGTGATATTACAGCTCTTCCAGAGATTGCACAATCATTTTTATAACTGGTGAATTAATTTGAAGTCCAATTATTTTGAAGTATTGTTGCAATGTAAACTCAGAGATCTATGAGAAAGGTTTTTAATTTAATTATGTGTTAATTTGAGGTTGTAGTTTGCACTGATGTGACGTAGCCTCACCATTTCTGTTTCCGTCCTGGAAGCTTCCTGGGCTTGATGCTTGTCTGCACAGACCCACAGGTGTAGAGCAGCTACTGCCACGGTAACTATACATGTGCTTTGTTGAATACTGTGATGCCATCACATTGAAGGCAGAGTCACTGGGATCTACAGCATAGCGTTTGGAGTCAACTGGCGGGTCACATAAGAAGTCATCAGGCATCGGTGTTTCTGCTGGAGGAGAAATGACAGGAAATGTCATGGTTCAAGCCAAGACCCTGTGTGAAAATGTCTTTTTAGCCAAGCTAGTGGTGCGGCTCTACGGATGTTGGTCATTCACTCCACCACTTTGTCCAGACCTTTATATCTCAAAAAACATCTACAAAATCAATTGCTATGAAATTTAGTGCAGATATTCATGTTCCCTGCATGTATCATTTAACACTAATTTAACAGTTTTATATAAGAGATGGCCATCAAAGTTTGTTTGAGAAGCATACTGTCTGTTCTAGTAAAAATATTTTACTTTGTTTTCAGGCCAACATAATGCATACAGACTTAAGTACTACTACATTAGACATTAGACACAGGCTATATTTTCCATGTGACTTAACTACTGAGTTTAATAAATAAAGGGCGGAGCACGGAAAAGTAGCCCACCTCCAAAACAATCCACTTGCTCATGAGCTACTTTTCTGTGGCCCACGCTGTATAAGCCTAAGATGTGTCAAATCCCCTTTCAGCCTGTAACTGTACAGATGTGAAAGTACTCAGTATTTCTGCTGAATCTGCTCCTTTTATGCCAACCATTTTTTAGCTTGCCAATAAAGCAGATGCCTGCTGGTTATGTCCAAGCTGGACAGCTATAGATTTTACCTGATCACAGATTTATGATAAAAAATACTCAACCGAGATTCTAAATTACTTCTACCTTGTGCTCATGGAAAAAATGTGAAACATGTTTTTTTTTTTTTTTTGTATTGTGAAAAATCAATTATGTGATAAGATCTGTGGATGTGACTTTGGAGACTTATATATTTACACACACACACACACACACACACACACACACAAGAGAGAGAGAGAGAGAGAGAGAGAGAGAGAGAGAGAACAGAACTAGCTTCATATCTGACAACAAATACTTAATATTTCAATACTTACAATACAGATATGGTTATTGCCTATACTAATATTTAAAGACAATATCCTTGAACATCTAATACTTTTTAAAAATTATCCTAACATCTCAGATAGTCTTAAATGAACCAAGTAAATATTATTAAAAAAAAACATTTTTTGTTGAATTAATAGAAAAAAAACCCCACGATATAATCAAATGAACAGTATTTGAAAGAGAATCTACACTGCTGCTCAAACAGCATCCCAAAAATATCTCCAAAATACAGCAGCATTTCTGAAAAGCTTCTCCATTTCACTAGAGAAACGATTTACATATCTGTCTGGGTGGCACCACAGGGAGCACATGGGTTTGTATGTGCACGCATGCTTCGCCTCTGTATGTCTACTGTCTGACATCAAACACTATTCGTGATACTGAGCAAAGCGGAGGTCCTTGGCACATGAGATTGACGTTCCCACCTCAAATACACTAAAGGCAATTCTTAAATACAGTATGTGCTCATTCAGAGCAGGACAGAGCATGAGGGAAAAGATGGAGAAGAAAAAAATCAAAGCAAGACAGAAAAATAGGAAGTGTATTTACATTTTGTG